GAGTCATCGCGTACGCCAGCCGGACCTTGAGTGGGGCCGAGCTGAACTATTGCGTGACCCGCCAAGAGTTGTACGCCGTGATTTTCGCATGCAAACAGTTCCGGCCGTATTTGTACGGCAGGAGATGTCGCGTACGCACTGACCATTATGCTCTGCAGTTTCTTCTTACATTCAAGGAGCCGCGGGGGCAGATGGCCCGGTGGTTGGCGCAGTTGCAGGAGTACAACCTGCAAATCGAGTATCGGGCTGGCCGGACGCATGCAAACGCGGACGCCTTATCGAGGCGACCCACGGTGTACGCCGAGACGAGGGCGGAGGAGGCCTGCCCGTGTTTCACGGCGGGACGCTGCCGGCAGGCAACGGACCCCCGAGAGGCCGCGGCCACTGACCCCCCCCCAGCGAGGGAGAGTGCAGTGTGCGCCACAGAAACCCTCACAGGTGGCACTGAGGATCCCGTCGACCGCCCGGCAAGCGCGGGACCCGCGGCTCGGGACCCGATCGGACGGATCCAGGAGGACGTCGGCTGCGCCTTCCCGGGCCTAAACGACGAGCAGCTGAGACAGACCCAGCAGCGAGATCCGGATCTGGCGGCAGTGGAGGCGGCACTGCGGGAGGAAAAGAGCGCCCTACCAGGACCCTGGAGCGGTTTGTATGCCCGGTTGTGTGTGCGGAACGGAGTGGTACGGGAGTTAACCGAGGCCGGCCAGCCGGGGGGCATCTGTGTTCCTGCCCAGGTGCGACCCCAGCTGCTACGGCTGGTGCATGACCACCCACTCGGGGGCCATGATGGGGAACGGCGCACCCGGGAGACCCTGCGTCGCCAGTATCTCTGGCCCAAATTGGCACAAGATGTGGCCGCCTGGGTGCAGGGCTGCCGGGCCTGTCAGCAGTGTGGGCAAAAGCCGGCGAGGTACCAGGTACCCCTGAGGCCGTTCCGAGTCAGTCGGACGAATCAGTTGGTCGGAATCGACCTGCAGGGGCCCTTTCCACGATCCCACCGGGGCAACCGATATATTCTCGTAGCGGTGGAATACTTCACCCGCTACCCCGTGGCGGTGGCTATCCCAGATAAAACAGCCCTTGTAGTGGCCCGGGCCTTCGTGGAAAACTATGTACTTAAGTGCGGGATCCCCGAACGAGTCATTACCGACCAGGGTAGTGAATTCGAGGCCGAATTATTTCAGGCGCTGTGCCGAGAGTTCGGGATCCAGAAGGACCGAACCACGGCGTATCACCCCCAGGCGAACGGGATGGTAGAGAGGATGAACCAGACTCTGGCCGGGAAGCTTAAACGCATGGCGGCCGCGAATCAACAGGACTGGGACGAACACCTTCCCTATGCCCTGTTCGCCTACACCACCGCCGTTCACACCTCTACAGGACAGACCCCGTTCCTAATGATGTTTGGTCGCGAGTCTCGCCTGCCCGCAGATCTGCTGTTCGGTGTTCCTCCGCCGCAACGGGAGGAAGGGAGCCACCCCGTGGAGCACTTGCTGGAGACCCTGCGAGGGGCCAGGGGCCGAGCCTGCCCGCACGGAGAGGCCGCGCACCAGCGGCAAGAGCAGGGCGCCCGACCCCGTATGGAGCCCCCCTTCTACACTGCGGGCTCCGAGGTGTGGCTGTACACTCCCCGCGTCGGTGCCGGACAGGTGGGGAAGCTGACCACCTACTGGCGAGGACCCTGGATTGTGAGACGGCAGATCTCACCATGGACGGTGCTGATTCAGGGAGGAGAGAGGGGCCGGGAGATGGTGGTCAACATCCGCCGACTGAAGCCGTGGCGAGCAGCCCCCGAGGGGGGGAGCCCCGCCGTCCAAGTACCCCGAAACCCCGGGGTCCCCCCACCCCCCGTGCCCGGGGGCCTCGCGCAGTACATGGGCCCCACGGAGCCCCGGGCTCCGAGGGGCCCCGGGCGGGGCCGGGGGCGACGAGGACGGCGACCCTTAAACCCCACCGCCTCTGAGTTTGTTCCCCAGCCCGCAGGTGCCAGAGGCCGAGGGGAGCCGTTGGAATGGAGGAGGAGACCACCGCCGGAGCCCCAGGAGACGGAGCCGCCACCCCCGAGGCCAGCCACAAGGGCCGGGCGAATCCCGCGGACCCCGCGGCGATACCTCGTGGGGGCAACCCAGGCGAGGTGCTCCAGTCAACCCGGGACGGGGACTGGCACCCCGGGGGGCTATGTGGTGCCACAACGACGGGGCCGCTCTGCCGAACCAGGGAGCCGCCCGGCTTCCCCCACCGCACTGCCCCCCATCACCCGCCCCACATAAGCACACACCCGCACGCCCCCCCCCCCCCCCCATAGAGCTGGAAGGGAAGGTCACCTGATCGACCGGTTTTTATCCGAGAGACCCTTATCGGGATTAATTCTCACGGTTTCCGGCGATCAGGGAATTGGATGACCTCCCCGTGCTACGTGGCACCGCGGCGCTGCGGCCGGCCTTAATATGGTAGGTCGTGGCGTGGGGCATTCGGCCACCGCGGTTGAGGCGCATTTCCCCCCACACACACTCCCACGGGTCGACGGGGCGAGCAGGGGAGGCACGGGACAGCATGAATAGCGGGGTCACAGGGGCTGTTGCGCATAGTCATGGAGGGTTGGGATAATTGCGCTTGAGCGCGCAAGCCCCATTGGTAGGAAGGGTAAGGGAGTAATTAGGATTTACGCCTTGCACGCAGCACACTGATTAGCATATCAACAGCGCCTGGGGACTGCGGTGCGCGGGCTTGGGGTGCACGAGCCCATTGTTCAGCGCAGCATCCCCTTTGGGAGGTAGGGAGGATAAATAGAGGAGCGCAGAGGGGAAATCGCTCTCTTACTCCAGCGCCAGGCGACCAGACGCAGCTCGAGCCAGCGACCCGGACGTCCGTGCGACGCACCGAGGCACGCGGTTAACAGAAGGATCAGCGGACCGCCGTGGACACTTAACAGTGAGTAAGAAGGGGAATTAGAATCATAGCCGATAAATAGGGAATAGGTACAGGTTTAGTGGAATAGGCCAGCCTCGTCGACTCACTGATTCAACATCAATTCGCAGGTGGCATATAATAAATCATTAATAGCGAAGCGTGGTCTCGCGTGATCTTGTCGTGCAGTGTGAGCGTGTGGGTGCGCTGTGTGCACAGTGGTTCGCCACGGGAGTGAGCGCTGCGCGGAGCTGAGCGCGCGGGTTGCGTGTGGGAACGCGTGTGGTACTGTGTGTGCGTAAGCTCGCGGCGTGCGTAATCGGCGTACCCCAGGTGCGCGATTGTAACGTGAGCGGCCAGCGCGGCGCAGAGAAGCGCAAGAGTGAGTGCCGTACAGAGCTGTGTGTGTGGGTGTGCGCGTACGTAATTAACCATGCCTGCTACGCGGACCCGCGGTGGAGTGGAATCCTCGGGCGACGGCTCCCACCCCATGGGTGAGGAACTTAGCAGCGGTTCGCTTAGCAGCGGGGGGGCGATTGATGATGCTAGCCCGGCCGTTAGCATTATCGAGGGAGGGATCTCGGGGGCTAGCGACCCCCACACGCGCATGCAAGGGGACGTGAGCCGCGCATCATCATCATCAACCTTGCCCCGCATTGCCAGCATCACGGCAATGTCGCCCCTTTGTCTGGATCGGGGGTTTCTCTTCCTTCGCGTTAGAAATTGGGATATTTACAGCACAATGCAACGGGCTGTTGACTCCGCTGGTCGCGCGTTTAATCGATTAACGCAGCCGCCGTGCCGAGGCTGAAATTCCAGGCGCGATAAACACATGCCAAATGTAACGAATCGCCCCCCCCCCCCAATCAGGGAAGTGATTGCCATCGGCCGGGTGAAACTGCTGGCTTACAGTGCTGGCCGCGTAAGCAATGACATTATTCGTGAGATGGCGATGAGGTGGTGCATTGTTTTGCACCTCCTCGGGAATGCAAGCGAATCGTTCCACTCTCTGCCTCCCTCTCGGCTCCCAGGTTGGCAGACATTCGCGCAGAAGTTAATGCCCCGTAGGCAACACGAATTGTGTCTTGATGGGGCAGCACAGCAAGTGGGTTTCAGGGACACGGATTTTCTCCAGCGACTCCGGGAGCACACAACCAAGGGAAAAAAATAATACCGCAAAAATTACGATTGGCTGAACATCTGAAGCAGGAAGCTCATGTAACGGAATCACAAGACTATCATGAGGTCTTCCTGCGAGAGTTGAATCATTGTGCAAAATCACTGCGCTTTGTGACAAATGTTTTGTTTTTCTAAATCCCGTCTCGTCATCTCGGACATGCCTTCCGTAGATCTGGACTGTCGTGCATTGGCCCCGTGAGAACAAACTCTGAGACAGCGAGTGGCAACGACAGCATCCCCATTCCGGTTTTTGCAAGCCATCCGCACCAATTCCCCACGTGGCTGACATCTCATCGACTGCGATACGCCACTAAGCGGCTGTGGGAGTCTTCCTGCCCCAACGCTCTCCTGCCCGTACGTCCGCATCTCCTCTCGTCGCCGACGCAGAGAACGCGGGTCGGGGTGGTCCTCGACACGCTCCTCCGCCGTGCCGTGACAACGGCCACAATGGGCGAGATCGAGACGGATTAGGCGAGCGGGCATCCCGAAGCGCTCTGCAAGCTTTAGGGGTAATTAGTTTGGCAAGCATCCTTGAGTGGGGGGGGGGGTGTCGCTAGGCCACACCCCGAGTTAGGTTTTCGTTCCTCTATAAATGCGGCATTCATTAACTCGACGACCACTCATTCATTGAGAAATACACGTCCCACATTCATGGCAGCTGCATGTTCGTGCTACAGACATCACATCGGGTTCGACCAATTTGTCTGAAAATACGTTAAGTAATTGCATCATAAAATGCCAGGGAGGAATAGAGATTGTTTTTATTAGCTTGTTTTTTTTTTTGCACCGATAATCTCGTGGCGCGCCAGTAGGTGGTACGTTCAGGAGTACGCTCGTCGCGAGAATGGTTACAGCTTTGGAAGAGAAAAGTAGCTCACGGGTTCACCACCACCACCTCCTCCTCCTCCTCCCAGGGCATGAACGCAGCGCGTGCGGAATGCAGCAACGGACGGCACCAGGCTAAAGCACTCACAAGATGAGTTTGAATGGATCGTCCGGCCATTGAGACGATGAAATCAAATTGGCTTCGGTAAAAAAAAAGAGAGAAATACGAACCGCACATCAGAGCGAGGAGTCCGGGAGGGCAGAGGAAGAGCGAAGCAGTGGACGCATCGCAGTGCACATTTCGCTGCAATCTCCACTCGAGGTAAAGTCCTCTCTCTCTCTCTCGCTCTCTCTCTCGCTCTTGAAACGGCGTGGTATTTGTTCAAGCGTGCGATGTGATATTCGCTACTGCATATCAGCCACTGTCTATCTTCTGCTCTATTCATGACTCCCTTTGCGTTCACCACCAATGAATGGCACCTCACTATATTAATTTGAATTACCGATATGATAACTAATTTTTGATAACGCCGCAGATTTGAATGACTGCGGCATTACCCACACGTCTCGCCTTGAGCGGTGATATGTCTCCGCTGTTGATAAGGAGAACTGTCTCTTGTTAATACATTTTTCAAGATGCGTGCACAGTTTTAGGGCAGAAGCCCTGATTTAAATTGGTTTAGATTTGGTACTTATGGTTTTGTTTCAATGAAATATCTGTATGTTGCAACTCTAGGTGTTTTTGACCTACAGCATTGAAATAAATAAAAATAGAGGTTATTTTGTTTAAGTTGCTTGGAATATATTGATATGGTTCCATGAATCGTGGTGCGTTTAGTCAACTGTATCTTTAGAATATCGCGCGTAATTAATGTGACGTTGAATTCACTGATGAAAAGTCATCGGCGATGAGCTTAATTCGCCAACGTTGGCGCGTGTCAACAACATCGCGATGTCAACGTGACAATCTGGTCATACTTCACCATCCTGGTTAGTGTGGATCGGTGATGGTCAAAGGGGTAGTCCAGCACCCATGCACACGTCACTCATCACTGAACACGTATGTTGCCTCTGGGCAGGAACTCAAACGACGCGGTTACACCATCTCATCGCACGCACATTTTTTCCAGTCTTGCACGTACAGGGCATTCCGCACTCTTCATTCCCCCACCTCTGCTTGTCTCTCTACACTGTGTTCAAATATGAAGAGACTGTGCAAGAAAATAACACACCCATCCATCGTAAAATTGGACTGTAAATACACCTGAAAATTATTGCGACTTTAATTGAGTGTATTGCATTCGTGGTAATCAAACGGCCATTGTCGCTCCACTGTTGGATGAAAGCTTCCCCCGTGACGTCACGACCCCTCGTGGCCCAGTGCTGCCATGATCGCATCTCGCAACAGTCCACGGACTGATTGACGATCTACCCGCTCCGTCTCCGCAGTGGGGCTCCCCTCAGATGCGCTCCCTCCATTGGCTGCCATTCCATGACCAGTCTCCACCCTCGCCCCGTCTAGCCAGTGGCGTGACGAGCATGGGGGCAGAGGGGGGCAGTCAGGGGGGGGCAGGCAGGGGGGGCAGGGGGGTGCCTTGCCCCCTCCCCCCCTGGTGGCCGAAGCTACGAGTTGGGGCCCCCTTGGCAACCACGATGAGATCTGTCATCAACAACGGTGCCAAAGAACATCAACACTTGTTTACAACGCGGTTTAAATTTACGTCTTAATGAAAATGCTGTCCTGTACGCATCCTGGGTTCGACCGTGCGAGACAAATCAAACATTGGGGCCCAATCTGACCGAGTGCCGCACCCCCTGAGCTGATAGGGTCGTTACCACGCCACGTCGTTACCTCGCCACGTCGTTACCTCGCCACGTCGTTACCCACGCCACGTCGTTACCCACGCCACGTCGTTACCACGCCACTGCGTCTCGCCTTGCCATCATGATGATGTCTCAAATGTGTCTTTGTACCCTGATCCATGCATTCCTCTTTGGGTCTCGGTGAAACTCCCAGCATGCATCTCACTCGGCAGGCGTTCGTATTTATGATCAATCCAGCCGATTGAAAAAGATTGTACACGGTGGTCCAGATGTCTTGTATCCCCCTCGCCCCCCCCCCCCCCCAATTTTATCCTCTTTAACGTACTTTTATTTTTTAAGTAAGATTTATGTAAAACAGAAATTAATATGCAAAGGGTAAAAATTTAAGTGGTCAATTCATTGGTGGTCACAAGACATCAGGAACACCAAGTACAATGTACCTACACCCAATTTATTCAATTAAGTTTCATCGATGAACGTTAGCCGAGGCAGATTGCTTAACGAGCAAAATATTTTACGACGGACAACTTTTTGTACGACCGGTAGCCGAGCGCTTGAACGTCGTACAGGGCTCGACCCGTAACGCTCCGGTCAACGCTCGCCTCGAATGAATATCCCTCCGTGCACGCAGTCCTGGCAAGAGCAGGGGAGTCATGAGAGTTTTGCCGCAAGTCGAATTCAACTTGTGGTGGTGGCCACTACGTTTGGAAGACTGTGAACCGGGGACGTTGTATAACAACAACGCGGCCGGTCAGAAATGTCAACGTAAATTTTTTAAAAAAATATCCCGGTGCGAAATCCATCGCTCGTGCAGATGCATCGTGGCGCATAGCGATTGGAAGCATTGTTTGGTGGTTTGAGAAGAGGAGCCGCTGCGCGATGCGACTGGTGAAATGAGCGGTGAAGCAGACTTGTCTCGCCTTCTTTTAAATTTAGCGTCATTCTCCGACGCTGATGCTTCGTGCGAGATCTCCACCAGTGTGAAACCTTAAGTTGACCCTGCCCCCTGAGTCTAATAAATCAACCTCCGGACATTATATGTTTAGGGGGCTCAAATGATAAACGGTTGATTTCCGGGTTTTTGTTTCTCCTTCCTTTTTACCAGTTAACAGTGTAGACTCGACTATATCTGTGACAAGTTTCACTTATCCGGTCGCTTTCAAAGGCAACACACTTTACACTCCTGCGGAACATTCACTGCCGTTTCATCCTTTGCGGAAACCCAGCGATCACGCCAACGTTGGCCCAACGTTGGCCAACGGCCTAACGTTGCACGTTTACTGGGAACATTTAGCCACCATAATCCAGAATGGACTGTATAACTTAAGTGAAACTTATTAGATTACTCAGTGAAACTGGCATACCATGGAACCAATGCGCAAAATGCGTGAACGAAAAAAAACAAGGAAAATCTTTTCAATTTTTTGAAGATTGTAAATCATTCGGTTGCAAGGCGCCTGCCCCTGCTGGCATCATCTTGGATGGCATCGCCACCCACAGCGGAACAGGCAGAGAGACGCTGGGCCTGGTCACATGCAGCCCAGCTTGGGGGCAGTAGCAGAGGGCGTGGATGACTCCATCACCGTGCCTCCTCGCATTGCCCCTCTGCACCTACCCCCTCTGCGCCTACCCCCTCTGCGACTACCCCCTCTGCACATACCTCCTCTGCATCTACCTCCTCTGCGCCTACCCCCTCTGCATCTACCTCCTCTGCGCCTACCCCCTCTGCGCCTACCCCCTCTGCGCCTACTCCCTGTGCGCCTACCCCCTCTGCACCTACCCCCTCTGCACCTACCCCCTCTGCGCCTACCCCCTGTGCGCCTACCCCCTCTGCACCTACCCCCTGTGCGCCTACCCCCTCTGCACCTACCCCTTCTGCACCTACCCCTCTGCACCTACCCCCTCTGCACCTACCCCCTCTGCACCTACCCCCTCTGCTCCTACCTCCTCTGCACCTACCCCCTCTGCACCTACCCCCTCTGCGCCTACTCCCTGTGCGCCTACCCCTTCTGCACCTACCCCCTCTGCACCTACCCCCTCTGCGCCTCCCCCCTCTGCGTCTACCCCCTCTGCGCCTACCCCCTCTCCACCTACCCCCTCTGCACCTACTCCCTCTGCATCTACCTCCTCTGCGCCTACCCCCTCTGCGCCTACCCCCTCTGCGCCTACTCCCTGTGCGCCTACCCCTTCTGCACCTACCCCCTCTGCACCTACCCCCTCTGCACCTACCCCCTCTGCACCTACCCCCTCTGCGCCTACCCCCTCTGCGCCTACCCCCTCTGCGCCGACCCCCTCTGCGCCTACCCCCTCTGCACATACCCCCTCTGCGCCTACCCCCTCTGCGCCTACCCCCTCTGCGCCGACCCCCTCTGCGCCTACCCCCTCTGCGCCTACCCCTTCTGCGCCTACCCCCTCTGCGCCTACCCCCTCTGCGCCTACCCCCTCTGCGCCTACCACCTCTGCGCCTACCCCCTCTGCACCTACCCCCTCTGCACATACCCCCTCTGCACATACCCCCTCTGCGCCTACCCCCTCTGCGCCTACCCCCTCTGCGCCTACCCCCTCTGCGCCTACCACCTCTGCGCCTACCCCCTCTGCGCCTACCCCCTCTGCACCTACCCCCTCTGCACATACCCCCTCTGCGCCTACCCCCTCTGCGCCTACTCCCTGTGCGCCTACCCCCTCTGCGCCTACCCCCTCTGCACATACCCCTTCTGCACCTACCCCTTCTGCACCTACCCTCTCTGCACCTACCCCCTCTGCGCCTACTCCTTCTGCACCTACCCCCTCTGCGCCTACCCCCTCTGCGCCTACCCCCTCTGCACTGACCATTCTGTTGCGATGGGTCGGCGGGTCGTTCCGTACTTTACAGATTTTAATCGGCGAAACCGCTTCCCTGCTATGTGAATAATCTACACGCTCGTCTCCTCTTTTTCAATTCTCTACGTCTGATTACCCCCTTCTTCTTCTTATTATTATTCTATATTCATGAATCTTGGGACACACTTCGTATTTCCAGATACCCGAAGCTCAGTTTGCCCTTGCCGAGAACCGCCCTTTGGCTACGCTCTCTTTACCCCCCTCTCTCCTTTTGCACACGCCTATATTTACGAACAAAGAGAGAAGGGTTAAACAAATGATAGAAAAATAAAAACATTTATATCCGCTTCTGCTTGGACGAGGCGGCGAGAGGGGCCCGGTGAGCACCGCCACCGGGGAGCAGTGGCGCAGCGGTTAGCGCGCCGCGCTACTGACCCGGCGACCCGAGTGCGATTCCTGCTCACGGCAAACACCAGTGACGATGATCTGAACCGGTCATGGGCCTCCCCTAGGTCGACGCAGAAGAGCCGGGTTGTGCGATATTAGGCAGGAAAAGAGATGCAGAGAAAGGAAGGGGAGAGAGAGAGGCAGAGTCAGAGAGAGAAGAAGGCTGAGTCGGGGTTAGTGCCGGTGACAACGTTTGTTCGCTTAAAGACATTCTGCTTGGTAATATTGATTCAGAAAGCCGATATGCCCATGGACAAAAACCATTCACCATTTACACGTGGCGAGTTAGAATGGAGTTCTGCTCGTATATTTACTCTTCAGTGAAAGCTGATGTTCTGGGAAATCTGTAAAGCCTTCCCCCGGGGAATATCAACAGAGGCATTGTTAGTCAGTTACGCATTAACACGCCGCTCACGGTGATGCGTCCACACGATGTTCTCCCCTCTCCCGGTGTCGTGAGATGATGTCCTTCTTCCCGTGATGTGTCCCAGGTTTGGGTACCGAGGATGCGGTGACCGTGTGTGGCATGCAAACGTGGGGTTCGCGGGCAAATGGTATCGCGATGCAAGCAAGCGATGTCTGTTTAACCCGTCGGCTTTCGCGATTAATATCATCCATAATATATACAGCCGGATGTAGCTGTCGCCTGATGAAGCTAGTTGCAATTATTGGCGAAACGTCGTACTCAGATTGTCAATGTTGTGGATTTGCTCTCCAACACACCGGTGTGCTGTACTAGTGACGATTTGGCGTGTTCTGTTTACGTGACGGGTGGTGGCGGGTTTAACGACACATTTCTATTTACGCGACCTAACACCACAAGACATAAATTATAAGCGACGTCTGTTTCCACGGCTGTTTAAATCAAAACCATCCCTGACTGCCTGTCGGCTCAACAAAAGCGGCACGATTTATCGACTTGGAGACAAGTGTGATTGTTTGTGTTGTTTACGCACATTCCACTGCCGAATGAGGGCCTCCCTACAGGCGTAGGGGGGTATTTTGACCATACTTCACCACTCTGGTCGGGTTGGTGAAGGTCAGGCAGTAGAAGATGTTGCTGCTGCCCTCTCCTCCACTTAGGCCTCGGCAAGGCAAGGTAATTGTACCCTTTTTACCGGGTAAAAGGGTAAAGGTGTCGACATGCCAAGGGTCAGGGTAAAGGGTGGGGTACAAGGTAGGGTAAAGGGTAGGGTAAAGGGTAGGGTACAAGGTAGGGTAAAGGGTAGGGTAAAGGGTAGGGTACAAGGTAGGCTCGTTGCTTTATACATTTTCACTTACCTGCTAAAGGGTGAAAGGTAGGGTAGAGTGATTGTATTGTAGTAAGGTAAAAGGTAGGGTAAAGGTAGGCTCGTTGTTTTTACACTTTTACCTTACCTTGCCGAGGCCTACCTCCACTGCTCACGGCGCCTTTGACTGCACCGGTGATGACCCATCCAAGAACAATCCAGGGTCAACTTTAATTAGCCTTCTACATCTTGATAAGATTTGGCACATTCAGGGTAATTGGGATTCACAATTGGCTTCAAAGTTATCTTGCTATGTTGAAGTAAGACATTTCTGAGTTGTATTTTTTTCTCTCCAAATAAACCCGTGGATTTAAACAGTTTTATTTATGAATATTTTGCAGAAAACTCGATTCCTGTTCACACCGTTGTGTTTATTTGTGGCAAGGGGCAACGCTGTTGCTAAGAAATTGCACTTGAATGTCCTTACGTAGGTTAATGTAATTACGACTATGCCACTATTGATAAATACGGCCCGTGCCATTTTGCCCGCGGTGTGCTTAAAAGGAAGCCTTGCAATTAGCTGATGAGTTGGTGATTTATTCGGAAATAAAACACTTGGGCTCGTCAGCCTGCGTGCAAGACGAAGCGTGGACGCTCCAGGCAACTCACGGTGTGACTCATATTCCTCTCCGTTCAAAATAAAACAAAAATCTCGATACGTCAAGCAATTTTCAACATGCCAAAGTACGTTTGAAGTTTGTTCAGCGTGAATGTGCATTTTCAGGGGCCACCGGAAAGCCTCATTAAGTCAGAATTTAAAAAAATAAATTTACACGGTTAGTCTGAAGCGGCTTAGCGTAGCTGCTAATGCATATTAATGATGCCACAGAGAGTTTACACCACCGCAAAGAAAACGACAAAGGTCCCCCGTATAGCCTTCAGCAGACTGTTGGGGCAAGTGCTGTTCTCGAGCGCCTACGAGGCCGACACGGCACACAAGGGGGTGGGTGGCCAACACCACGCCCGGCCGCCTTTGTCTCTCTATTGGCCGGGGGGGGGGGCAGTACGGGTTCAGATAATCGTCAATGGTGTTGGCCGTGAGCGTGAATTCAACTCGGGTCGCCGGGTTCGTAGCGCAGCGCGCTGACCGCTGCTCCACCGCTCCCCATTTATCATCCCCATGATACCACTGCGCACGCGCACACACACACACACACTCGCTCGCCGCAGCGTGATTGTCATTATTCACATTCGTCGACCTTTATTCATGTGAACCCAATTGCACTCGAGCCATTGATCATTCAACGGCAGCCCCCCTCCCCCTGCCCGCCCCCACTGCCACCACCCGACGCATGCGTCCCGACATCACTCTTCACGGCACTAATAACGGATCATGATCTCATCTTGATACCTTCACAGTCAAATATTTACATTCTCCATTCAAGGGGGATAGATGAACACCGCCCATTCATTTTTGACACCGCAGACTGAGGCCCGGTGATGTTTCAAGTGTTTACGTCATAAGGTGAATGAATGTTTCCCCCAGCGCCATGCACGATCTCACTGATGGCAACCTTGCTCATAGCGAAACACAACTATCCATGGTTGTTGCTGATATTCGCTTGTGAAGCCTCATTTAAATTATTATTTTTTTGTAATGGGTTTAAATGGGACATGGATTTAAATACGACATGGCTTTCTTCCCAACTTCTAAATGAAAAAATAAATCGATTCATTGACAGCTGAGTCTCTGAGATGAACGTTTATTGTTTCGAAGTAATTCCAAAGTGCATCCCAGTCCCAATGATTTGCTGAGTGGTGATCAAGTCAAAATGCGGTCCTGAACCAGTGGCGCAAATTCCACAATCCCATGGCAGGAGCCATTCTCTCCAGAGGATGGAAACTGTTGAGTTCCCATAAAAAGTCAAACTCATGAAGAATAAAAAAATTCCCCCAATTCTACCGCGGTTGTGTTTTCGGTGTTGCGCCATGAGACAAAGTTTCAATTGAGATCTCTCGCAGAGCAGTGCAAACCTTCGTGGGAGAGAATATGGCCCAAGGAGATGGATATGACCAAACTACATCTGAGATTGCTTCAGGTGCCCTCTGGTCCTCGCAGTAGGGGGCAGCACTTTACAACCCACTCTGCCACCGAGAGTACGTTGTCTCGCGATGGCCAAACTGATTCTTAGAGTTGAAATGTTGCCAAATTAAGTGCAGAACCAAATTTAACATGATAGTGTTGTGTGTGTGTGTTAACGAATTGGCGACCAGCCTCAGATAATGAACACTTGAGAACGTGGTAATATACAGCTGGCTGCCTGGATTCGAAGCCAGGTGCCAGCGTGCTGGATGGCACTGCTGAGCTAATCTAAGTAAGAATTCCCCCACGTGTTATAGAATGTAACTGATATTGCCCATCGTGCGTAATGGTCACAACACCAACATATTCTCTCTACGCGTAGCGGCACCTCTTTCAAACTGCCCCGCCCCCCTGCGCCCACCCCAGGCTGCGACCTCCGGCGACCTCCGTGCCAGGATGGCCTTCGAGTGCGTCCGCGGGCGACGCGCTCGCGGGGTGCTCACGGCCGTGGCCCACGGCCTCACCTCGGCGTCGCTCAACCTCCTGCTCAAGGTGCTGCTGTCGAGCCTGCACTTCCCGTACCTCACCCTGCTGCAGCTGTCCAGCTCCGTCCTCTCCGCCGTGACGCTCGAGTCGTTGCGCCGCTGCGGCCTGGCGACGCTGCCGCCGTTCAGCTCGGAGGCGGCGCGCGTCTTCGCGCCCGTGACGCTTCTCTCCGTGCTGCACTCCACGCTGACGCTGCTGTCGCTGCGCGGCCTCTCGCTGCCCACGTACGTCGTCTTCAAGCGCTGCCTGCCGCTCGTCACGCTGGCGCTGGGCGCGGCGCTGCTGCGCGGCGGGCGTCCCACGCTGGGCATCATCGCGTCGGTCGTCGTCACGACGGCGGGCGCCGTGCTCGCAGGTACGCCGGCCGCGGTGGGTCCACGCCGAGCCGGGTGCTGGCGGCGCGTGCGGGCGCGAAGAGGGGGGGGGGGGCACGTGTCGTCGACGGGCACTGAGAGATCCCGTGGCGTCACGTTTTCGGATGAATCCTCAAACAACGTTTTTGTTGGCTCGTTACATTGTGACAAAATGTTAATTATCCCAAAATCCTCCAAAAAGATCTGAAATTGTCCTTGAAAATCTGGATTAAAAACTAAACATTTGGAACTCATCCCAACTGCATTGTTCATTACATATATAGGCCCAATTTTTCTGAACTTTTGGATTCAACTGAAATTTGGGAACACATCCCTACAAAACAGCAACATTGCTGGAGGAGGTGGAGGTGCTGCACAACCACCGATCGACCCTTGGGGAAGAAGACAGCACTTAGACGATGATCCGCAATCTGGTGAAACCAAAATAATGTCAAACACTGCGTGATGCTCCTATTCCTCCGCGCGCTGGTAGACATTATCCCTTATAGGCTGCCAAAGATGGAGCTGGAATGGCTGCAAGGATGGCTGGGCACTCCGTGGCAGCGATTGCTTTCGATGAAGCAAGGCCCACTGGAATATCGCTTGGCCCTAGAGCTGTCTCTGTTCACAGTTCATTACTCTTACAGCCCGCTCACAATTGCTCTGACTTTTACCATTATGGCATTTCATGGGTTTTTTTTACTGAAGCACAAAACCATTCAAAGAAGATTAGTTGCCCATTCAGATGCTTAAAGGTGCTCCCGTTATTAATCTCACACATTAAACATGCTAAACACTTGATATTTAATTATACGATATGGCAAAACAAAACACACACTCAAAATGAAAATAATTGTGCATCTAAAAACACAACGACAACAATGACGCTATTTTTGGCATGTTGCATCAATTCGCATTTTTTAAGATAATGGACATATATGGGGAAAATAAATGGCTAGCCAGTGCGTTGAGTGCGATGTTTGTTTGCATAAATACTTGCCTCACAATGCACGCTACGGAACCCAACATGAATATTGACTGCAGTGGTTTACTGCACGCTGCATAGTTATTTGGAAGTCGCTCAGTGATCAGAGCGCTCAGCAATCACCAGCTGACGTTCTGAGTTCGAATCTGGGCAACCACCCTGGATTGAGCCAGATCCACAAGGGGGAGCGGGGTTGACGGTCCCTGCCTGCTCACTGACGGATGCACATGCTGAATTTGGTATTTGGCAATGTCTCTTTCACTGTCATGTGGCAAATAATCTCATATCAAAGGGAATGGATAAGTGTGTAAACACCTACCGTGTAAAAGGTATCGGGGGCCACGCAATTGAATTTTGGGATAATCCTTTCACCAACCCGCACTGACCAACCGGTGCCGAAGCACTGTCTAACAATCACCATGGCCAATACACTTCTTTTGTCCTATGAAAATACTTTTCCCTGTCGTAGAAGCGTGGAATTTCCACCAAATAGCAGAAGCAGATCAGTGCCATCAGATATTAGTATTCATATTTAACATTACACAAGTGATGTTCACAAACAGCAGGAAGACACACACTCCAATCATGCCTAGTAGCACGCATGTCATGTAACCACCACATTGCATGCGCAATGCTCCCAGCCTTGCCTAAGCCACCAACGCGGAAGAGCTGAAGATGTGGCCAGATTATTAATTAGGCTGCCAAATGAAACAGTTTAAAATTCGACCCAATAGACAGCGGTACATTAAAGAGACACGATAGTACAGTAACAGCATGGTCATCAACGAGTTCAGAGCATTGGGCGTGATTTTACACATGCATGCAATGCGGTGACCACATTGCACGGGCGCAAGGTGTGATGGGAGTCGTGCGCCTTCGTGACGTTTGTGAGCGGCACTCCTGAGCGCATTGATCACGTCGCGACGGGCTTTATCGTCTTTGCAGAAAGCGTCGGCTGTTAAAGAAACGGGAGCAATGCCAAAAGGTGGCTCATCTGCGCAGCCAAAGAGACACTTTTGTTCATTTAATAAGAGTTCAGTGAAAAGCGGCCGCGTCACACCACGTGTGGATATCGCTGAAGGGAAGGCCGGCGACGAATAAACAAAAGGTGACAGGCGGGTGGATGACTCTCCGCCCTGAGCACCAAGGAATGAATGTGGGGAGATGAGGGAGATGGGAAACAGAGCACGGGCTGCCAGTGCCTTCATGGGTAATTGGGTTTTTCAATTTCGCCGCTGTTGACTGTGCCTTTCACACTCGATTCTTCACCACACTCCTTTGCATTTTATTACATTATATAATACCGGCCCATGAGATGTTTTTTTTTAATGATGCGATGATTACGGTGAATATGATGATTACGATGATGATGAATCAATTTTGGCATCTCCCCCCCCTCCCCCTTCTCCCCGAATGAATATAGATGCTCCCACAGTGATGCAATGGTTATTAGCACGCTGCAATTGTCATGCAAAGGTCACCGGTTCAGTTTGACCTCCGGGCATAGCGGCTGAAACAATGGGAGAGTTTCTCAGATGCCCCACCCCCTCACCACCATCTGGGGTGCCGCGGTGGCTATGAGATGTTAACTCCCTCGCCTGGTATACAAGAGGTCGTGGGTTAGATTCCGACCCTGGAGTTTGCATGTTCTCCCCATGATCGCATATATTTTTCTCCGGGTCCTCCGGTTTTTCCCTTCACATTTCGAATCAACGTGCGTTTAGAGTATTTGGCTGCTTTACATTTCCACGTGATAAGCCACTTCGTTGAGCTATCATTGTGGTCAGGTCTGAAAAAGAGCTACATAGCTCAGTGGACCTTACCTGGTAAACACAAAAGTTAAATAGCTCGTGCCTCTGTCCACCCATTATGGTATAAATGGGTCTGCCACATTGAGTCGATCTGCAGATCGCACGTGGTGGGGTAAAGTGTGGGTACTCCCATCTCTTCCAAGATCTCAGGCCAGCACGCAAGAGTCGGCCAAATACTCTCTTAGAAGGGCTACTCAAGCGCTCCCTCCAGTGGTGTGGGTAAGCAATTTCAGGGCAGCACCCTTTACCCCGTATTCATATTGCCTCTGTTGGCACTCGGTGTTAAATACCGGCAACACAAACACTTTTTTGCATGCACGTGCAACAACGTGAAGAATCACCTGCCCAACTCATCGCTCCTTCCCCGGTTTCATAAAACCGTCGCGCGGTGCCGCCGTTTCACCACACGTGATCGCCGAGCGGTCGAGGAGGTGGGGTGGAGAAATCGTCGACGCGGCCAGGAGTGAAAATGGTGTCCCCTGATTCACCGTCTCATTTGCACCACCCTCCGTGCGAGGAATTGTAGGTAATAGGGGGTTAATTGAAAGTGTCAGGCATGGGCGAGTCGAGTCCCGTATCTCTTCACGCTCCGCTCGGCATTCGTTCGCCGGCAGCTGCCAATTGTGGTCCCACAATGGTTCCGTCAATATTTGACGGTGCCTTTTAATGCCGTTTCATTTCCTGTCGCTTCGGTGAAATGCGGCCGAATGATTGAGGACAGCTGTGCCGATAGCGCGCTCCGTGTTCGATGGAGACTGCGAATGGACTAAATTATGTGGCTCGCGAGCCAATTCATAAGAGTCCTCGGCGCGTGAATGCACGATGGTGGTGATGGTCGGTGGCAAAAGCCCCCAGAATGCCATGCTCGGATATTGACGGCGTGAATTTACGGCAAATGTTCCCACGCATGTACCGCCGTTAGTAATTGCATTACCAAACATTTTTTTCACGGTCTCAGCAAAATAGTTCAAAAGTTGCCTGCCGGCTTCGGGGCCGCTGTCGGGAACTGTGCACCCACAAAGCTTCCACGCTTGATCATGGGGACGATGATCACCGGAACCATACCACGGTTGCCAACCCTCCTGGATTGGCCGGGAATCTCGACCGGAATTGGCATCGATCGACCGGTGGCGACTCTTGAAAGCAATGCGGGAGGTTTTAATGACAGGATATTTACAGAAATTGTATTATTATTATGACAGTAAAAATTTCTCTGAATTGCTTCAGTCAGAGTTGGCAACCCTCATGACGATCAATGGGCAGACAGCCCCTAGTAGGTGCCCACTGCACATTTCGTCATTTTTTCCCACTTTCCCCTGTCTGGTGCCAACATGCTCAAGTAGTGCCACATCTCTCTTGGTGTCGTCGTGAAGCCCATCCTCTGTTAGGTCTTCCGCACGTTGTCGTCCATCCCACACATGCTGGCAAACCCGACACAACGCAACACTAACACTCCACTGCGTCTGCTGCCCCCGCCGCCATCGCAGGCATCGGGGACGTGACGAGCGACCCCGTGGCCTACGCGACGGGCGTGCTCGCGGTGCTCGTCCACGGCATCTTCCTGGTGCTCATCCAGCGCACGTGCACCGACAACTCGGGCGGCCCGCTCGCCGCCCAGTACGCCATATCCATCAGCGCCTCGCCCCTCTTGCTGGCCTACTCGCTGGCCAGCCAGGAAGCCATCCACGTGTGGGCCTTCCCCGGGTGGCACGACGGCGCCGTCGCGGTGGCCTTCCTCGGCAGCGCGGTCCTGGCCGCCCTTCTCGGCCTCACCACCGTGGCCTGCACGGCGTTCAACTCGGCCGTCACCACGAGCTTCGTCGGGGTGGTCAAGAGCGTGCTCACCATCTCGGTGGGGATGCTGGTGCTGCGCGACCCGGCCGCCGAGCCGCCGTCGGTGCTCTTCCTCTCGGGGTTGGCGCTCAACACGGTCGGCTCGATCTTCTACTGCGTCGCCAAGTACTGGGAGACACGCGAGCGCAGGGACTACGACGAGCTGGAGGAGGCGCCGCTGTCGATGGCGCTCTCGCCGCAGGGAGGGGGAGGAGGAGGAGGGCAAGAGGAGGACGGGAGCGGTGGCAGTGGCGGCAGTGGCAAACATGTTACCGAGGGACAGGCCGGGGTGGCCATGGAGTGGCCGAGTGGTGACAAAGTGGACAACGGCGGCGGTGGAGGTGGTGGTGGTGGAGGTGGTGGTGGTGGTGGAGGTGGCGGTGAAAGCGCCAGAGGTGGCGTTGCTGATGACAGCGGCGGCGGTGGTGGTGGTGCCGCCGCTAAAGATGATGGCGCCGAGCAGAACATGAGCAGATTCCTCGCCGTGTGGAGGGTGCTGAAAGAAAAACGATTTCAAAATCACGAACCTTTAAAATGAGCCCTACAATATTAGTTCAGCCCTTTCCACGTGGATATTTAAAGCATCGCAAGGGAGGGGGGGGGGGTCGTTTGACCATCGTGGGGTCGTGACCATCGCCGACCTTGTGGCGTTATAAAGATACCTTGATGATTTTGATGCCTTTTTAAAAAAGCAATTGAGCTCAGGTTGTGATATTGTGCCAACGAGTGGTTGTGGTTGTTGTTGTAGCTCAAAAACGAATGGCTACACGTGTTCAGGGCCCACCTAGCTTGCAGTGCGAGCATGCGCACAGTGCCCACCGACCCTCCAGAAGGTGACGCAAGCATGGACGATAACCGTACGGCCGTTTTGCACGATTTTTTGCTGTCGTCTTTTCCCCAGCGCCTCCTCTCGTTCGAAGCGAAACCACCGCTCGCTCCCTTACGCCGCACACGATCACGGTGCGTCGCGAGCGGCTTGCCGCAAACCTCCGCCCGCGACGAAGGAATTCGAGAACAGACACCTCCAGCCGTCAGCGTAGCGGCGTGGTGAACCCCACCGGGAAGCTGATGCTACGCACGCCAGTGACCTTCGCCGGTTAATAAATAAAATGTCACGGAAGATAAAACTTAACCGGCTTCTACTTATTCTCAAGTGCGTGCATTCCTTTGGTTGCTCGCTAAGTCTTGCCTACGGTGTTGCCTCTGTGCGTCTGCCGCCGAATGAATTGACTCTGCGGGGTCACTCGGATCGCCAGCGGCTGCCCTTTGCTGTCGGTGGTCCTTTTAAGAATTCCGAATGCTCGCTGACGCGCGGCATTTCACTTGTGACAGTGGTGCTGAGTCTATGCATGTCAGAGATGTGATATCCTGCCTGCCGAGGATTTTAAAGCTGCCTTTTTGACCTTGAACTATTTTGAATGATCTAAAATGCATGTTAATGCGATACATTTGAGTGCTTTGGTATTCTGTGAAACAGATTTGTTGTATTGTAACTTTGAATGCGTTCGATTATTCCCAGGACAATTATAAGGGCGTTCCAAATCAGATTGGTTAAAGCAATTATGTTGGATAATTCGGTCCACACGTTCATCTGACATTCTACTGCAATTTACGCATTATCCTTGCATGGGGTCCTTTTCTGGGTGAGGTTTTTAGTTTGTTCTTGCCAATTAAAATCCCATTGAGGAATGGGTGTCTTGCCTAGAAATAGGCGGCATTTTCCACTTGAAACTCTCGCTGGAAGCAGCGTCACAACATTACCAACCCTCGGTCAGCTAACGCTCTGTGCGATCAGAATCAGAATATTGATTTATACCGGTAAAATCCGGTGAGCTATAAAGCTCTTTTTCACAGATGTCCAGTAGAGGATGACGTTACAGAAAACAATTAATCTTTGAGGTTCCTTCAATTGCCATTGATCCACATGAGGCCTTGCTGCATCTTTTCGCATGCCCTCTTATGGTGGATTGTTCATTTGGCTGGCAATTGCACTGTATATCTTACAGTCCTCGAATGAGATTAAAAGCCAAATTGAATGAGAACGGTTTTATTTTTCCGCATCATTGGTGACCAAGCGGAAACCATCTACTCCCATCACTAAACTGAGAATCCAGTTCAGTGATGATAATAATCACCATGATGATAAGAATACGAATTTCAAATGTGCACAGCATTCACTTACTCTCGTATAGAGAGACCGACTCAGGGGCGTGGGATTAGCTACCGGCAAACAGGAAGGCAGCCGTGCAATGAGCCGGCGCCAAGGATTGCCCACGGTCTGCGGTCCTCTACATATAAAGGTGTTATCGGCCAATTAGTGAGTGTTTACAGGTGGGGTGAAACCGGAGCACCTGGAGAAAACCGAAGGGTACGAGGGGTACACACTGTATCCCATAGAGACGTTCTGTCCACATTTCGACCGTACTACCGTCTCCTGGCAAGCCGGGGTATGGCACCCCCTCGATGGCCACGGGAAGGGAGTTTCGCAACAATTGTGTGAACCACCAACCCTCGCCTCCACAGTGCTGGCTTACAGGCGTGCATAGCCACCACCGTCTGGATAATCACTGGCGGATGCATGGATTTTAACCGAGAATCTCAGCATTGCTGCTTCAGTACTCTGACATCTGACCCACCGGTCCATCTCATCTCATTTTCAAAGAACTCTTCTCCACCGCAAAGAAATGTCTGAGTTGGATTGTTTTCGTTTTCTAAATAAAGTGTTGCCTGGATTCTAAATATATTGCCTGGATTGCCTGGATTTGAATGCAGATTCTCAATGTTTTTGGCTTAGTGTTCTGATATGGACCACTCGTTGAGTTCTGTAGAATTGGAAGGATGCCCAGGTGGTCCCCCTCTTGAAGAAGGGGGACCGCACAGACTGTAACACCTCCAGAGGCATCTCCCTCCTCAGTATTTGGGGAAACGTCCTTGCAAGGATCATTCAACGTCACCTTGCCCAGGCACGCTGAGGAGAAGCCTGTCCTGTCCAACAGTTGTTTTAGCTGTTGAACAGGACAGTTGAAGAATCAATGAATATTGCAATGCGCGTTTATTTTGGAGTTCTGCTTTGAACATAAAATAATGGACCCCTTTAAATTTCTCTGGAACAATGTGATTTTGTACTCAAGACAGCAGTTTAGCAAGCGAGTTCATGCATTATTGCTGTAGGCTACATCACTCACAGATTACAACGTTTCGGATTTCGATTTTCACTTGTCTTAGAATAACGTCGGTAGTACCACGTGTCTTTGTTGTTGTGTGCATCTCTTTGCTGGACCCGAGACGCGGTGGTTTGCACATTACACTTGATGCCAGAGATCTGAGTTTGACTCCTGGAAACCCTAAAATAAGTTGTCAGTGATATCTGCACCATTCATGGGTACCCCAACCCCCCCTCCCCTAGCCCCCCCCCCCTTTCACCAAGCCACATTGACCAGCGGGGTGAAGTATGATCAAACGACTGCCATCATGCGTGGCATATTGTGGCGAAGCCTTAATCCAGCAGTGGATTGACGTGGGGCTGAACAATAAAATAAAGAACGTATTTCTTAAGAAAAAAAGCAGGGACTCGCAAGATACAAATGACAATGGGAATTATTAAAAAATAATGCCATCGCAGCCTGTGAGAAAACAACGTTGTATAATAATTCCCCTATGCTGTATTGCACTTGTATATTAAAAGGGCCTCACCCCACATGACTTGCAGGAGCTATTAATGTGTATATTCCATCAAGGTCCATAACATCTTCTGATCTTCAACTGCTCAGCACTCCCAGGTCTACAGGCTGCGCTCTTTTGGTGATCGGTGCTTTTGTTAGCGAGGCGCCCAAGCTATGGAAGGCCTTGCCACTTGCAATCAGGCAATCGGAGTCGGTAGATCGATGTAAGTCCGCTTTGAAAACCCATTTCTTTAAAGTGGCCTTGCCTCTTTCGTTTGGTCGGTTGCCCCTGCTCTGTTTTTGTTTCCTGCTGTTCATGCATTGTGCATTGGGATCCTATGATGGAATGCACATTATAGATTTTACTTATTATGATAAAAAAATATGCATATAGATGCAATGTTGATTTGGAGAACCTACCATGGATTACCATAATAAAAACAAATACAATGTGAAACTGTGCATTGACAATTACTATATGTAATTGCAGTTCGTTTGTACACTATATGTTTGAATAGCGATGTGATTACTTTACAATTCTTTCTCGAAAGTAAGAAGCACCCAAAACGTTGTGCCCAGTGTCACGAAAATTACACAAATATAATCAGACGCAAACAAAACAAAGATAAAGATCCCATCGCCTAAACAGACTTTTGGGGCAAGTGCTGTTAACGAGCACCTATGAAGGTTATCACGGACGGCACACGAGGCAGGGATTTTGGCAGCACTACGCCGGGCCGCCTTTGTCTCCTTAGTGGCGACGTTGATCAAACACACACTTACGTGAATATACAACAGGATCTTAACCTTCAAAATTACGTTAAAAAATGTTATTTGTAACCCGGAGAATGTGGTCTTTATTGAGGATAAAGCCTCATGGTGCGTACGGGACCTGTATGCATTTGCCAAAGGGTCTCTCTGTGGTGTCGTTGGCATCAGACACATGCCCACGAATCGATGCGCTCACCATTTTAATTGGGTGCCACTGGGGCTCCACGTCTGTTTGAGGCCCGAAATAAATCTAACTCGATAGCACGTCTACGGTCATTTGGATATCCTGTGTCCATTTCCCTCTATTGTGGTAGTTGTGTAATCGGAACGGGACTATATTACCAAATGTGTGCTGTGACATAACAGCGAGTTGGCTTGGGCTGGCACGCAAGAACAAATATGAAGCCTACGAGGCACCTGAACGGATGATGCAAACACTCTGTGGACAACTCGCGATTTGAGCTACACAGACAGATAGGTTCTGGCCTTTAACCATTATCATCATCTTCAGCCATGATCTATCCCCTGCTGGAGGAAATTAAGGCCTCCCTACACCATCGCCATCTCTCCCGATCTTGCGAAGCTACAACCCATTTCAGCAGCTTTTGGGCAGCCGTAGAACAAAGGTGGTCACCGCATCGCGCGGCGCTTTCAGATGCGTTGCTGCGGCCGTCTGGAACGCTCTTCCTTCCGATATTAGGAAGCCACTGGAGCTACGCACTTTTAAATCATCAGCATTGACAAACTCGTTGCTTTATAACTGCTTTTTGTGTTTAGTTTGCTGTCCTTCCCCACGGTTGGCTACGTACGGTGTGAAAGAAGTTCAACATATACACACATACAACCATGCAGCTGAGCTTATGCCATATTCCCATCATGAATGGTGAGTGTCCTCCGAGGCGTATTCCCCTCCCCTGGCTCCCATTCTGTCACCAGTCTCGCCCATAGACCTTCATCTCTGCTAGTGATGGCTTCTGCAAGGCTCACTCACTTGTCTTAAGCCAATACATTGTCTCTAATTTGTATTTGTTCTCGTGATCCATGTGTTCCTCTTTGTTTCTCTCAGTATAATTAAAGTAAAAAAAACTGTTTATTTGACCAGGTAAGGCCCACTGAGCTATGTAGCTCTTTTTCAGACGTGGCCACAAATGACAACTCAACGAAGTGGGCTTATCATGTGGACATTCATAGCAGCTGCCAAATATGTACCCTGAACGCGTGATGTTGATTCTAAATGTGGAGGGAAAAGCACGGAGGACCCGGAGAAAAATCCACGTGACCACGGGGAGAGAGACAAGCAAGCTTCAAATATACAGCAGCAGGCGTCGGTGTCGGGATGGAACCCACGACCTCCTGTATACCAGGCGAAGTAGTTAACATGTCGCCACCAGCATGCATCTCTCCATGCTTGTGTAATGTTTTGCCTTCTTTCATGTTATGTGTCAGTGTCCATGCGTCTGACCCTGTCATAGCAGGCATATGCACTGATTCGACACTGTTTTTTTTCAGCCATTGAACCACCAAAATGAACCTTCTGGATCTGTTTCTGAGTGATTGCTTCAGCCCGAGCGGGAGTCTCAAGTTCAAGCCCCCTCATTATGGCGTGTGGCCAGAACGTCAGGCTTCACATTTAACGGGCAGAGGCAGAAGAGGGAGGGATTCCTTTAGACACGCGTGGCAGCATGCGGTCAAAGTCAGCAGACACGGGCTGGCTCGAATTAGCAACGGTGGCTGCCTTCAGCCGGGCACGACACCGAACCACGTGGCCCCTCCCGACTCCACGGCACCACCGCAAGGCGTGATCATCGCACCGCGGTTCAAGAAACCCACGTGCAACGACCTGCAGATTTCTGAAATACGTCCGCCTCTGTCCACCCCAGCGGTACGCCGCACGGTAAATGGTCACCGCCGCAGTTAAGTTGAAGAATCGGTATGCAGGCAGCGTGTGGTGGGGTAGATAATGCGAAGTGTGTCTGGCCTGCGTGGAAGAGTAGGGCAAATACTCTCCAAACGGGGTGCTCCAGAGCTCCCTCGAGTGGACCTTTACACGTTTAATTATTTGATAACATTGTGTAAAAGAAAATGTGTTCCTGGGTAGTAAGTGTTATTTACTAATTGCTTATGCCTCATAAGCAATTATTCCCAACAAACTTTGCTTTTGTTACCAGGACATTGATATTTAGAAATGTAACTATTTTAAATGAGAAAACGTGGTGTGCATTTGTATCACACCTTCACGTAAAGTCCTGGTCACAAAAGCAAAGTTTGTTAGGAATAATTGCTTATGAGGCATAAGCAATTAGAAAATAACACTTACTACCCAGGGACAAAAATCGTGTTACATAGTGTTACCAGCCGCGTACATCTCGATAGAAATGGAAGGGTGTGTGTGTGTGTGTGCTACTGTCGGGAGGTTGAGTGACAGTCAAAAGGTTTTGAGAACGATTGGCATACGTTTGGATGTATTGGCGTCATGCAGAGGGCCTGTCTTCAGAACGATACAGAATTATATTTATACGGCACCTTTTCAAGATGTTGTGAACCACAACAAAAATAAACAAATATTTCAACACAGTCATGCATCGGCCAAATGGGGAGAAGGGAAAAACGCGTAAATCACTCTGCCGCAGATCATGCTGATATTAGCCAATCTAATGGGGGCCTTTCACATGCCAATATACTAACCAATGGTAATTACTCGATCAGTGGCTTGATTGGCAATGACTGGACACAGGGATTACAGCGGTGATAACAATAATTACAGCTGTGATAGCAATTATAATTGCATGGCTACTGCTGTGTGGCGTTATCAGCAGCTGCAGCTGCAGCAAGGCCCCTTGACCAGCACCAGCACCACCAGCACCACACAAGCGCGCGGATGAGCCGCGTTCGGGGAAACGCGCTGGGGTGGACACCTCTGATGAGCACCGGTGACTACGTACGGTGCGAAGGACGTTCAGCGTACAAGATGGAGACCTTCGGGATGGCCCAGCATGTCGACGTGACATGCTGAGCGATCACCACTCTCAGCTCTGGAGCATAGCTCATCGGATTCCTCCTCCTGCAGCCTCAAACACATTCCTGCTGCGGAGGGAGCTGGTAGGAACGTTGGGTTGCTCGGTCAATGGCCAGGGTCAACGGCGGCGTGGTGTATTCCGCAAATATGCCCGACTGTGAGGGCGGGCACAAGCCGGCGTGAGTAGGTTAGACGTTGAGTTTTATAAGGGCACCACGGGGTGACCAGCCCCTCCCCACCCAGCCCCACCCCTCCCACCCCCCACCCAGCCCCACCCTCCCCACCTAGCCCC